CCCCCCCCTCATCTCCGGGTCGCCATACCCCCCACTAGAGGAAAAAAGTTTCTTTCTTCCTGTAAAATATCATTGTCTCAGTTCTTGAAACTTTATTTTTCAAAGTTTAAAAAAAAAAAAAAGATTTTCAATTTTACATGATTCCAAGCCATGCACCCACCAAGTCCTGGTACAAGGTGGCCGTCAGATCTCTCCCATCAACATGGGCTTCCATATATGCCGATGACTTCTGTATCCGTAAAGCATCTTCTGCTTCCATTGGGCCTTTCCGAGGTATTGTTGGAACTTTGGCCATTTTGAAATAGTTCACACCTGTCTTATGGCTTGAAATACATAAAACTGAAAATACATCACAGGATTCAACACATTTTTGCAGGGCTCTTGAAGTGGGAAATGGGATAAAATGTCGTGGAAATGAAGTGAAAGTGTCCGAGTGATATAGTTCAAGTTTCTGAGTATTATAGCACAGGTGCAAGAAAGGAGGTTGTGCAAGTGTCCGGGGTAATGGAGTGACGTTAGCGATGGGAGTGGGGCTCATACAGAGAGGATGGCGTGGCCTCTGTCTCTTTTTCACAGACCATGTTGTTTAAAATTGCATAAAGTTTGTTCCTTAATTCACCAGAAGTGTAGTTATACCATCAGACGTTTACCTAGACAAGCAGACGTGTAGTGATACCATCAGACGTTTAACTAGACAAGCAGACGTGTAGTGATACCATCAGACGTTTACCTATACAAACAGACGTGTAATGGTGCATTATCAAGATTCGCAGTAGTTTTAAATAAACTATTGTTATCTGGAATAGTCTGCAAATAGTGCGACATTTGAAGTGGAATAATACAATTTTCAATTTTTTACATTATTTTTTATTGTTGCCCACATCATTATTAGACAGGACCCCTCATCTTGCACCAGTAGCCAGGGCCACTCATCTGGCACCATTAGACAGGACCCCTCATCTTGCACCATTAGCCAGGGCCACTAATCTGGCACCATTATCCAGGGCCACTCATGTGGCACCATTAGACAGGACCACTCATCTTGCACCATTAGCCAGGGCCACTCATCTGGCACCATTAGCCAGGGCCACTCATCTGGCACCATTAGACAGGGCCCCTCATCTGGCATCATTAGACAGGGCCCCTCATCTGGCACCATTAGCCATGGATCTCATCTGACATCATTAGCCATGGATCTCATCTGCCATTATTAGCAAGGGATCTCATCTGGCATCATTAGCCATGGATCTCATCTGGCATCATTAGCCATGGATCTCATGTGGCATCATTAGCCATGGATCTCATCTGCCATCAATAGCCATGGATCTCATCTGCCATTATTAGCAAGGGATCTCATCTGGTATCCTTAGTCAGGGCTCCTAATCTGGCATCATTAGCCATGGATCTCATGTGGCATCATTAGCCATGTATCTCATCTGCCATTATTAGCAAGGTATCTTACCTGGCATCCTTAGTCAGGGCTCCTAATCTGGCATCATTAGCCATGGATCTCATGTGGCATCATTAGCCATGTATCTCATCTGCCATTGTTAGCAAGGTATCTTACCTGGCATCCTTAGTCAGGGCCCCTAATCTGGCATCATTAGCCATTGGATCTCATGTGGCATCATTAGCCATGTATCTCATCTGCCATTATTAGCAAGGTATCTTACCTGGCATCCTTAGTCAGTGCCCCTAATCTGGCATCATTAGCCATGGCCCCATATCTGGTTGAGACAAAATCTCCCATATACATTAGGGTGACCAAATCATGAACTGAAACAAAAACGTGACACATCCAAGGAGGGTTGGGGATACCCTCCAGCTAAAGAGGGGTCCCGGGGCCTCCGCCGGAAACTGTTTATTGAAATATGTTCATTTTAACTAGTTTGAGAACTAGAAATCTTTTAAAATTTACCTTCTCTTTCGCAATTTAATTTAAACTCTGAGGCATAGCATAAACGAAAACAATAATTTTGCAGTGAATACTTATTTATTTATGCATATTTTACAACATAACAAATTAAAATTCTCTAGTCTAGGATTTAAATTGAGAATATTTGGCTGTTGTCCCAGCCATTGTTAAAACCTCCTTCTTATCTAATATACAATAAAGTTGTAAAAACTAGAACAAAAATGTGTTTGGGAATTGGACATTGAGGCGTCCCGGGAGACTTTTTCCGTACACCGGGTATGATCGCTAAAAAACGGTGCAATCCCGTTTTTACGGGACGTTTGGTCACCCTAATATACATTGATCTAGCCCTTTGTGTCATGTATGGAGTTGAATTCAACGTCTGAATAAAATGATCTATATCAACAATGAACAGCTGACCATGTTAAAAGAAAGCTGTATGATAACGAGGTGAACTGTATTTTGATAATTTGAAGATGACAATTATTTTACCTTATACACAGGGCTTGAAATCCAGATTAGGATATTACATGTTCAAAGTGTGCGCTACCATGGAAGTTTCACAACAGAAATCTGGGCAGAATTGAGCCTGTTTCTTGACAGACATCTGGGCAGACTTGAGCCTGTTTCTTGAAATGATCAGTGCATTAGGCATGCGATCTTACGTCATTTCTACCCGGGCAATAAGGCTTATCTTTCCTACATTTGGTCAACGTTAAACCTACTTAAGTCTACTTAAACACATGTATAGATAATTGATATTGACTAGAAGACAGTATTTACACTTATAGGTAGTGTGATTGACCAGGTAAAGACCCACGTTGTTTGCTACAAAGTTGTCCGTCAACTCAGTGGGGATAAGCGCCGAGGCAAGATGATACCCCTGTTGTCTGAAAACTTGACAAAAATCTGAGTTTAGAAACACTATGGACCCCTTCCACACCGTTTGAGTGGGAACCGCTCATTTAGATAACACATACCCTTTCATGCCAAGACCCTATCTGGGGAGAAGGGGGGGGGGACCACATGGTTTCCCGAAATCCTGTCGTCTTTTATCTACCTGAGAATAATTTAGAACACGATCCTACATCAAATTACGGTTGTAAGACCGTTGAGCTTCCCCATGTGGGCGTCTTGGTGGGGGACGAGCTTCCCCATGGGGCGTCTTGGTGGGGATACGGTCGTTGCTAATTACATTTCTTGGAATTTGGCGTTGTTATCGACGAAATGCATAGATTTGTTCGATGTGTTTTTGTTATGTAATTGTCATATTATAAGAAATGGAAGCAGCCTACTCCGTTTTTGGTGTATGTTCAGATGGAAACAGCCTACTCTGTGTTTAATGTGTCTTCAGATGGAAACAGCCCACTCTGTGTTTGATGCGTATTCAGATGGAAACAGCCTACTCTGTGTTTGATGTGTATTCAGATGGAAACAGCCCACTCTGTGATTGATGTGTATTCAGCCTACTCCGTGCTTGGTGTCAGTTCAGATGAAACCACAAGAGGACCACCCGGGACAGAACGTAGAGGGACGTGAACACCCAACCGATGGGGTCACGGGAGAGCTGATTATTAACTGTACTATGATATTATCCATATTAACATAATATTTCTAATCAGTGCGTTATTAGCGTATTATTTAATTTTTTTTCATTTTTTATATTAGGCCTAAACTCCTTATGTTATTCCGTCCGACACAACATGATATGTTTAGGATATGTTTAAGATATGTTTAGGATATGTTTAGGATATGTTTAGAATATGTTAAGAATATGTTTAGGATATGTTTAGGATATGTTTAGGATATGTTCCTTTTTTTGCATGTTTTTTTCATTGTCTCCTGTGCATACATGCATGTATATTTCACGAGTCGTAGCTTTAGGGAAGCAAAAAAAAAAAAGGTTGAATTCATTCAATATGTCACATAACTTGTGATGGAATAGGGCGTGCTGTACCAGGGTAAGCTAACATATATTGATACATTGATCATAGGCATTGTCAACAAAATATTTTATGAAACAATGTAATGTTTTTATTTTTGTTGTAAAACAGGGTTTCATTAATATCACGTTTTCAACAGGCGTCATCATTCAAACAGATCTTGTCTAACTACATCTCATGAATGATTGGGGCTCGTCTTTAGACATCCATTCTTCTTTGTTGAACATCAGCTTTTCTTACTAGAGTATTTAAAGGAAGTCGTGAAAGTCGTTTAGACTCGCCGCTAATAAAAACAGCTATCTTCAAATGCATCTAGGCCAGTCGCTTGATTGGCTAAAAGTTACCGGACGACCTAAATCAGTGATCTGGAACATCGTTGACTCTAAGAGGGTGACCTAGATTTAAGATTGTCATACGTGTTAGTCTGACCCAGGTGCACAGTATGGGATAGCTACATTCATTTTCATTCATTAAGACATTTTCAAGAAAGAATATACTCTATATGTCAATCTTTGGGTAAGAAGAAACAGGTTGGAACTCACTGGGGTTGAAGGAAGGTGAGCTTCAGATTAACATCTTTATTTATATTAATGAGACACCGTGAATTATTATTATTATTATTATGAGACCTTAATGAGATACACGGTGTCTCATTAATTTACTTAAAATCTTTATCGCGGTCCGCCCCTCTCATAATTAGTTAATATTTATATTAAAACATTTAGAAAATAATCGTTCCTAGAAATCAGTTTTCTCTGTTCCCATTGCTGTCTTAAATTAATTTCCTATAGTTTTTTTAATCCCCAATCACATTCGATCAAGTGTCTTAAGCCACCAAACACCAACAAGAAATGGCGAAGAGACAACTTGGTCCTGGCAAGGGAGCCTTGAATCCCGAAGATGCGATACGTCTACAGAAAAATGCAGCATTTATTGAAAGCCACGTCGACGGCAAGAACCTCACGTCGTCTCTCCTTAACGACTCGGTGAGTACGTTTGTTGTCAGGCAAGTTAACCTTAGCGTTATAAGCAATTAACAACTTAGTTTCCTCATGTTTCTGAGATGTGTTCGTTATCATAAACGCACTTGTATTGTGTTTAAAGCCTGATACACATACCAGAGTAACAACATACTTAACACATTGACAGCACATGCGGCAATTTAGCTACCCATGACTGAGTCGCTATACATGTCAGAATCGCTATACATACGAAAAATCACTACACAATTGACATAATCACTATACATATGACAGAATCACCAGACATATGACAAAATCTCAATACACATAACAGAGCGATTAATCAGTTTACTCCAAATTGCAGTTTTATATTTCAATCTCGTCTATTCCCATAACGTGTACAACTAATATTTAAAATATGACTTTTACGCCCAACTCAAGCTGAAATCATCTCAGTCATGGTAAAGTTATGGGGCACATCAGTTATAAACATATTATCTAATCATTGTAAAGTAATTAGTCATCTCAACTGTACACATATTATCTAATCAATTGAACGTAATGGGGCATCGCAATTATAATCATATTATCTAAACATTGTAAAGTAATTTGGCATCTAAAATATACACAGATGATCTAATCATTGTAAAGTAATGGGGCACCTAAATTATAAACAGATTATCAAATCATTGTAAAATAATGGGTCACCTTAATTGTACATAGATTATCTAATTCTAGTGAACTAATGTTGTACCTCACTCGAACCTAGATTATCTAAGCTTGTTTAACACATGTGTGACCCCCACTTGTAAGCATATCATCTAATCACAGTGAACTAATGTACCTCACACCTAACCAGATTATCGACCAGGCTGATGTGGACTTGGTGTCTGCTGGAAAGACAGGTCTACAGCGCTCCAGGACCTTGCTCAATATCTTAGGAAAGCGCGGTCCGAGGGCTTACCAAGGATTTTTGCGAGCTTTGCGTTCTAATGGCTACGGAGATGTTACCAGTGTCATTGAGGATAAAGAAGGTAAGCAGAGCGTTCTAATGGCTACGGAGATATTACCAATGTCATTGAGGATAAAGAAGGTAAGCAGAGCGTTCTAATGGCTACGGAGATGTTACCAATGTCATTGAGGATAAAGAAGGTAAGCAGAGCGTTCTAATGGCTACGGAGATATTACCAATGTCATTGAGGATAAAGAAGGTAAGCAGAGCGTTCTAATGGCTACGGAGATGTTACCAATGTCATTGAGGATAAAGAAGGTAAGCAGAGCGTTCTAATGGCTACGGAGATATTACCAATGTCATTGAGGATAAAGAAGGTAAGCAGAGCGTTCTAATGGCTACGGAGATGTTACCAATGTCATTGAGGATAAAGAAGGTAAGCAGTGCGTTCTAATGGCTACGGAGATGTTACCAATGTCATTGAGGATAAAGAAGGTAAGCAGTGCGTTCTAATGGCTACGGAGATGTTACCAATGTCATTGGGGATAAAGAAGGTAAGCAGTGCGTTCTAATGGCTACGGAGATGTTACCAATGTCATTGAGGATAAAGAAGGTAAGCAGTGCGTTCTAATGGCTACGGAGATGTTACCAATGTCATTGAGGATAAAGAAGGTAAGCAGTGCGTTCTAATGGCTACGGAGATGTTACCAATGTCATTGAGGATAAAGAAGGTAAGCAGTGCGTTCTAATGGCTACGGAGATGTTACCAATGTCATTGAGGATAAAGAAGGTAAGCAGTGCGTTCTAATGGCTACGGAGATGTTACCAATGTCATTGAGGATAAAGAAGGTAAGCAGTGCGTTCTAATGGCTACGGAGATGTTACCAATGTCATTGAGGATAAAGAAGGTAAGCAGTGCGTTCTAATGGCTACTTAGATGTTACCAATGTCATTGAGGATAAAGAAGGTAAGCAGTGCGTTCTAATGGCTACGGAGATATTACCAATGTCATTGAGGATAAAGAAGGTAAGCAGTGCGTTCTAATGGCTACGGAGATGTTACCAATGTCATTGAGGATAAAGAAGATAAGCAGTGCGTTCTAATGGCTACGGAAATATTACCAATGTCATTGAGGATAAAGAAGGTAAGCAGTGCGTTCTAATGGCTACGGAGATGTTACCAATGTCATTGAGGATAAAGAAGGTAAGCACGGACACCCAGAAAGTTAAGAGCTGACACAATTTATACACTGAGAGGATTGAATATAATTTTTTTTTTAAATTTGATAATCTTACGTCCACGTCCAGACTACACAGAGTCGGGTGACACGATTATCGGCCTCGATAAACGGCAATTTCTGAAAAATGTTACATTTCGAATGTGTCAATAAAAATGCTCTTCACAGACGTCATCACATGTTGATATAAAGGCCCCAAAGCTAAGACAGGTTGACCCGACTAGTACAGTTGGGGTGTGGCTAATGTGGTGTGTGTGGTTGATGTGTTGTTGGGGTGTGTTGTTGGGGTGTGTTGTTGGGATGTGTTGTTGGGGTGTTGTTGGTGTGTTGTTGGTGTGTGGTTGGTGTGTTGTTCGGGTGTGTTGTTCGGGTGTTTTGTTCGGGTGTGTTGTTGGTGTGTTGTTCGGGTGTGTTGTTCGAGGGTGGTGTTGGTGTGTTGTGGGTGTGTGGTTGGTGTGTGGTTGGTGTGTTGTTGGTGTGTGGTTGGTGTGTGGCTGGGCTGTGTTGTTGGTGTGTTTTGTTGGTGTGTGGTTGGTGTTAGTTTGTTGTGTGGCTGGTGTGTGGTCGGTGTGTTGTTGGGATGTGTTGTTGGTGTGTTGTCGGTGTGTTGTTGGTGTGTTGTTGGGTTTTGGTTGTTGTGTTGTTGGTGTGTTGTTGGTGTGTTGTTGGTGTGTTGTTGGGGTGTGTTGTTGGGGTGTGTTGTTGGGTTGTGTTGTTCGGGTGTGTTCTTTGGGTGTGTTGTTGGTGTGTTGTTGGTGTGTTGTTGGTGTGTGGTTGGTGTGTGGTTGGTGTGTAGTTGGTGTGTTGTGGGTGTGTGGTTGGTGTGTTATTCGGGTGTGTTGTTGGTGTGTTGTTTGTGTGTGGTTGGTGTGTTGTTGGTGTGTTGTTGGTGTGTTGTTGGTGTGTTGTTGGTGTGTGGTTGGTGTGTGGTTGGGGTGTGTTGTTGGTGTGTTTTGTTGGTGTTAGGTTGTTGTGTGGTTGGTGTGTGGTTGGTGTGTGGTTGGTGTGTTGTTGGTGTGTTGTCGGTGTGTTGTTGGTGTATTGTTGGGTTTTGGTTGGTGTGTTGTAGGGTTGCTGTTGGTGTGTTGTTGGGGTGTGTCGTTGGGGTGTGTTTTTGTGTGTATATTTAATATTTTTTTAAACGTTTACCGATATATTTGACTCTCCGTTTAAATAAGTGTGTACAATGATTTCAGCTGTTTCGGAAGGCCTGACAGAAGCCAATGAGGAAGAGATCGTGAAGCCAGCACATGCAGAAAAGAGGCAAGTGATCTAAGTGTTCGCTACTTTAAATAAAATGTGCAACCCTCTAGTTTAACATTAACTATTTAAAATGAAACAGTTTGGGTGAGATTTCGTCTAAACCGATTGTTCTCAATGGAGACGGTTTATAAGAGGGAGGGGCCAAGTCTTGGTAGATTTTAGGGGGCACTGGGGCTCTAATGGGGGGCGTTGGCGGATTATATTGGAAATTATTATGTTTGACATATATTAGCATTATAATTCAAAAGGTGGATTAGAACCTAAGTTTGGTATTCATTGTCAGTAACAAAGAGACGTTGACGGTCTGTGTTCCATTCAAATCACTGTATTTGGTTTATGTGTCAGCCTAGTGTCAGGCTGTTAACGTGGGGTTGCCCTGCTTTGTTCACGACGACTCTATCATGTAAATGAAGTTTCTGCTGAGAGACCTCAAACCAAGCATTGAAATATAATCAAACGCTACAGTTACTAACTCCATGCTTCCATCACATTAAAAATATTGAACAGTGAAGACGTTAGAAATCTAAAAATCAATGATCATAAATAAGGATACAACATTTGAATTTTGATTAATTTTTCAAATATATGTCACAATATCCTATTGCCTTTATCTCTATCCTCTATCTTCAATAGAGAGTCACAAATAATTTAGTCTGAGAATGCTTTTAATTGGGCTCGAGAGGGGGCGATCACTGCGAGTTTATGGACCCAAAGGGAGCAAAGTCAGGGAAAAAGTTTGCGAACCACTGGTCTAAAGACTAAACGCTTAAAATTAAAAGCCATGTACGCACGGGATTTTTAAAAAGTGAAGCCATGGGTCTATTTGAAATGAAATGCTTAATATTGAAAAACGCTTTTGATTTAATGGGCCAGGAATACATTTTAGCCGTTTCTATTCTGCTGTTATTCCTAACTAGATCTCATTGAGTATGCCATGGTTTTTCCGAGCGCAGTCTGGAAAAATAATTTTGGTAACATTCTACACGCTTATTCAAGCCTCAATATATTTTTTTTTAAAATTTGAATAAAATTGTAAATTTTTCATAAAATGTCTTCCCTAATTGGATATGGAAAAGAGAGATCTCTTAGTAATAGTTTTTTGTGCGGTGATTTCTTGGTATTTTCAGCTTTGCGGCTTGGCCATTCCCCACGTAGCCCGTTCTCTCATCGGATGACACTGTGACGTATTCGACAGCTTGATAACGTTTGCTTCCTGTCCAGGGTATGCGGAATTAAATATGAAGCTCTCTTAGCAGACGACTACGACATATTTCGGATATGACGTCACTTTGTCAATAAAGATCTCGTACATGTAATGATAACTTGAATTTATTATTTTTTTAACCATTTTTTTTTTCTTTTTTAATGTGTGGTTGCTTTAAACATCTTACTTATCACTGTTAGCTTTTTTTTTTTTTTTTCCAAATAACACGCTCATCATTCATCAATAAATACAATAATTAACTGGGTCGGGGTATCAGAGAGCGAGCACGACGACACAAGGGACAATACCCTGAAATCTGTAGCATTTGGCATTCAGACAAACATAAATTACACAATTTACGCGTCGGATATTTTAAATCGGTAAAGGGGTGGGGGAGGGGGGGCTAACCGAAAAGTCTTCAATGGGGCTACTTCATCGTGCGATGTAAAGAAAAGCTGTACATAACTTCAAAAATATATATTTAGCGTCAGTTCACACGATCAAATTTTCGATCATGCATTTGATGCAATTTTTGTATGAAGCCTTGTCACAAATTGCAAATTCATGTCTTATCAAATTCCCATTTTTGTCCAAAAAAAAAACAAAAAACAAAAAAAAAAAAAAACCACGCACAAAATAGTGGGTTCATACAAAAATTTGCCGCCAAATTTCAAAAGAAATTTGATCGTGTGAACTGACGCGTTAACAATAGATCACAAATTAAGACAACTAAATCAACTATCTTAGCGCGTGTTATAGATGACCATGTTATTTCGTATATACAAAGTTGCCACTGGTCAGGGGAAGGGGGGGGGGTCGCGTAGGAGGGCGATATGCCCCTGGTGGCATATTTTTCTTCCTATGGAACAATTCCCTGATGAAAACACGTATACACGTTCAACACACACGACGTGTCACAAGGCTACACGACGTGTCACAAGGATACACGACGTGTCACAAGGCTACACGCCTAGTAGTATCAGTGCGCACACATCTCAGTGGTCAAAGTTTCATACCGATAAGAAATGGCGAACAATTTTTCTGCTTAAAATAACCAATCGGAAACAAGGGGGTCTTCAAAGAACTCGTCATGTTCTTGCCATGACCTAAACAACTCTCAACATGACCTAAACAACTCTCAACATGACCTAAACAACTCTTAACATGACCTAATGTGCTGGGGTGCTGGGTGGCCGAGTGGTCTAAACTGAGCAAATCTCAAGTTGGTGGTCTGGAGATCAATTCCAGCCAGCTAGAGCAAAAAACCACCAGCACCCCGGGTAGATGGGACTCGTTAACCTTGGACGGCAACCCATCTAAGAGAAGGCAACTCTGAAATCAAACCCGGAGATGGAGTCCCGAAAGGCGGATAACATTGATACAATGAAACATTCCGTGCCACTGGTGCCAAGCTGTATCATCCAATGATGTTCCCTTGGGTTACCCAGCGGCGTGGGAACCAGCTTATAATCCTTCAAGTATAATAATCCCAGGCTATGTGGATTTCGTCCTACGAAGCCCACTCCATCGTCACATTGTGACGGACGGATGCCAGCAAAAAAAACATGACCTAAACAACTCTTACCATGCCCGAAACAACTCTTACCATGCCCGAAACAACTCTTACCATGCCCGAAACAACTCTTACCATGCCCTAAACAACTCTTACCATGACCTAAACAACTCTTACCATGCCCTAAACAACTCTTTCTGCCCTAACCAACTGTCGCTGTCACAGCCCAACCCTCTCCACACAAACAACTTCTCTAGCCCCCAACCGTCACATACTGTTACACACAAAACAGTTTTTTTCCCCTCTTCTCCTTCTTCCTCCCAGTTTTCCCAAACTAATGCTTACGGATATAAACCGTCCCATAGCCAGTTTGAACGACATTATAGTCTGAAGACATGTCTTCCAAAACTAAATCTATTTATTTAGTCCAGCGTTTGTTCCAGGACAACCAAGATTGCACCCAAACAAGTGCTCCGACGCCTTACGACAATGAAAATCTTCCCGACCATTGTAGTCTTTAACGACACACAGTTTGATCTTGAAGCTGAGGGAAGGAGCTTGATGAAGTCCACTATGGCCAGTGTCATTCTGGAGAAAGTAGAGGACATCCATGCACGAGGCGGTGCGGTAATCCTACAGTGGAACCCTTGTCCCGTTTAGGTTATGCAGACCATGAGGACCGGTACAAGTTGAGGTGACTCAGAACGAGGCGGTGGATACCCACGCGAGAAGATGCAGCCCAGCCACAACCAGACTGGCCTGTGACTCAACTGGGAGTCAAAGCCTGGCGCAGACACCACTTTCGTGAAGTGCGTCTCAACGGCTGGGCGTTCCATAACACGGCATGAAATCTCTAGCGAAGCATGCTGCGATCGTGTAAGAAAGACCCCAGGAGGAAACCATCACAAATTCTAATCACACAGATGTCAACGAAACACTGTCCAACTAATAGTTACTTAAATCGACTCACTTAGTAAAACCTCAATGCCGATCCTGTCACCTGGCCACTGAAATGGTCTGCTCCGATGTCCGCGAGGGGGGGGGGGAGGAGCGGAGTCAGAGGTTACCTCCGGAGACCTGTGTTAATATTCTAATTTATGACAATGTCCTCTTGATGAGGCTCGCCTGTGTTACACTAGCCTAGGACATAGGAGTTTAGACAGCTTGATGAGACTGACCTGTGCTATACATTAGCTAAGGTCATCAGAGTTTAGGCTTGACCTAACAAGAGAATAAATCATCTGCCCCTGCTGAAATGGCCACACTACGCCTTTACTTCAAACACCGCCCCTTTTTCACCCTCGTGATTTCTTCTTCTAAACCTACCAATACATTCTCCCCCCCCCCCCCCC